CTGATCCCAGACTGGGGTGTAGGAGGTGTCGCCGGTTCTTAATGACGAAATTTGATTGAATTTGATCCAATGGTTTGCCATTAATAGCATTTTGAAATGTTACTAGAGAGAACAAAAGAATAACCCTTTAATGACCTTTGACCGTAAATCGCTGAACACCATAAGACCCTATATTATGCCAATACATATGTGCCCAGGACAAGACTGTGCTATGATATTTGTGACAGAAGAAGTCTTTTATTCATTTTTTTGAAAGTTTTTACCTTAATGACCCCTATGTGACCTTTGACCCCAAGCAGTGAACACCCCATGTATGAAAGGTGTCACCGATTATACTGACCAGGTTTGGTTGAAATCGGCACAACCTTTTGGCACTAGTAGCGTTTTGAAATGTTGCCAGAAAAAAGATAAAAATAACCCCTTAATGACCTTTGACCCCTTATCCATGAACACCCTATAGACTCTGCCTTATGCCAATGTATATGTGCAAAGGACAAGACTGTGCTACGTTATTTGTGAGACAAGTAGTCTTTTATACGATTTTTGTTTTTTTTTACTCTAATTCCCCTTACGTGGTCACATTAGGGGCATTAGGGTAAAAAAACCCAAAAATGCATATATACATTGGCATAATGCAGAGTCTATAGGGTGTTCAGGGATAAGGGATCAAAGGTTATTAAGGGGTAATTTCACGATTATTGTAAGCGCTCGTCGTCGATGGACGTGTAGATATCGCTCCGGTATGAATGCTATCTCTCGACTGATGTAACTATACCGCACCGAGTTATTCCTGTCTTAAATACTTACATCCTAGTGAAGCAATCGAAGTAACTGCAATACTGTGTTGAGTTCAACATTAACTGAAATATCATCAGCCTATTTTATTTTCGTCCACGTTATTACAGAAATGTCGAAAGAAGCCGACAACACACCAGCGGCTACGCGTCAGTCAATCCAGGTGGCGAAGTTAGTTGTAAACGAATTACTAAGCAGCGAGGATTTTAAGAATTTACTCAGTAGCTACATCAGCGACGCTCTTAAGAGCCCTGCTGTTGGAAAGGTTCTAGAGGATATCATTGCAAGGCAAGTAAACCCTCAAATTTACTCTATAAATAAAAAAATGGAATTTTTAGAGACCAGAATCGTAGATCTGGAGTCTAACAAAGAGTAGAGCACTGCAAATAACTTAGAATTTGTTCCCGACGACATTAATAATAAAATGGACGAAATTGATCTTACGTTAGACGATCTTGAACAGTACAGCAGGCGCAATTGCCTTCGTTTCTTTGGAATTAAAGAAGCAAATAATGAGAAGACGGACGACATAATTTTAAAACTGGCTAATGACATAGGCGTTGACTTGACGTTGGATGACATCGAACGTTCACATAGAGTTGGACGAAAGTTCGATAACTCAGCCAAGCCAAGACCAATCATTGTAAAATTTTGTTCTTATCGGAAACGCAATGATATCATTAAATCCAGAAGGAGGTTAAAAGGATCTGGAAAATCTATTCATGAAGATCTAACATATAAAAGGCAAATACTAATGAATCAACTACGTCAGAAGACTGCTGTCTTAGCCGTTTGGTCAATTGACGGTCACATTTTTGCTTCTATCACGAAGAACGGAAAGGAAATAACACAACGAGTTTTGTCTATCAATGACAAATTTCATTCATTCTATACACTTGGACAGTTGATAAGAATACGATTCACGATTATTTAGGCATAAACTTATTAATCTTGTTTTTACTCCTGATAATATGTTAATTTCTACCTACCTAGGTCTTTCAACAGACCTGATTTACATAAATCTATTTACATTCCTCCGTTGACATTCCGATCATTTTCAGTGCACTGTGTCATTATTGCCATTAAAGCACATTATTATTTGTCTTGTACCTTTTGATGTTTACGTGACATATGCTTTGCCTCCCTGCCATGCTCTACTCTAAAAAATGATTATAATTTTGCACATATACTATTTCCTTTGTATTTTGTTCTGTTGTGATTTAGAATTTATAATTATATTTATTTCATATATTTATTTTACTATTATTATTTATTATTATTATTCATTTTTACTTGTTATATTTATTTGTTTCATATGTTTATTTTACTATTTTTCTTTTTTGTTTGTCAATGGCCTATTACCTATTTTGCATATGCAAGTTTGTATTATGTGTGTAGGTGTACGTGTATATATGTGTATGTATGTATGTATGTATATATATATATATATATATGTATATATATAGATATATACTACTATACTGTTTGTGATATACAAATCCAGATTCACCAATCATTATTTATCAACTCTATGTTTATCATTATTATTATTATTATTATTATTATTATTATTATTATTATTATTATTATTATTATTATTATTATTATTATTATCATTATTATTCTATTATTTACTACATTATATTTACTGTTAATATTAATGATTATTATTACTTGAAGTATAAATTTTATTCTTATTATTATATATTATTATTAATTATCGTTTTATTTTCACTATTAATCGTATCGATAATCTTATTACGTGTGTATCGGGAACAGATTGATAATTTGTAGTTACTGTTGACTGTTTCCTGGTGTGTATATACATATTCTCTGTTTCTCTAAAACGTTTAACGCTTCTTTTCCAAATTGTATATCTCCTAGACAGGAATTGCTAGTATTGACTAAACACATATTGTTTTGCAAATTTTTTACCCTAAAGCATACCGTATCTTGACCCTAAAACCTTTTTTTTGTGTTCAACACACAAAATTCTTAGGTATTGACCTCGACCATGAACTTAAATTCAAAAATCATATAAAAGAAGTTGAACTGAAAATAGCAAAAAGTATTGGTATTATTTATCGTCTCTCTTTCTTTCTTCCAAGTCTCCATTTATTCATCCCTTGTTCTTCCTTTTATTAGTTACTGCAATATTATCTGGGCAAACAATTACAAATCCAACCTTGAATAAATTTACAAGCTCCAAAAAAAAGCTGTCGTATAATTTCAGATGCTCCATTCTTTGCTCACTCTGCTCCACTTTTTCTTGCTTTGCATCGGTTGTCTGTTTTCGATATAAATATTTTACAACAATGTATCTTTGTTTATGAAGCTACCAATTCTCTTCTCCCTACTAACCTTTGCTCCTTTTTTAAAAACTAAGATTTACATCCTTACAACACCAGAATTCGTGACAACATTCACCTTCCTCTACCCAAACTTACTTTACTCCAACACAATATTCGATATAGTGGTTCCAAACTTTTTAATGAACTCACCCTTTAAATTATATCGGCATCTTCCAGGAAAATTTTCTCTTTTAAGGTCAAGAAATATCTTTTATATCTAAATATGCTTAAATCAAATCAAAATCAATGTTTATTTTTCTAATACCATTATTATAATATTGGTAAATTTTTGCCTAATCATTTCTCCAATTCCCCCCTCTGCTTTCTGTTCTATCCGTGTTTTGTATTTTGTTTCGTTTATGTATTTTTTTCAAAGAAATTTATGCTTTCGTTATTATATGGGTCGCTCGTTACAAGTGCCACTTGATGAATGGTTTTTCCTTTCATCATTTGGCGTATACTTTTTGAGCAGTGCCCTCTTTCACACAAGTCTTCTTTAATTTTTTTTTATGAAATCCGACTGTTCAATATTTACCTTTTGTTATTATATTGTATTGTGTAAAGAAATAAATGTTTATTTGAAATTGAAATTGAAATTTTTATCTTTTTTCTGGCAACATTTCAAAACGCTACTAGTGCCAAACGGTTGTGCCGATTTCAACCAAACCTGGTCAGTATAATCGGTGACACCTCTCATATACTGGGGTGTTCACTGCTTGGGTCAAAGGTCACATAGGGGTCATTAGGGTAAAACACTTTAAAAAAAATAAATAAAAGACTTCTGTCACAAATAACATAGCACAGTCTTGTCCTGGGCACATATATATTGGAGGGTCTTTATGGTGTTCAGCGATTTACGGTCAAAGGTCATTAAAGCGTTATTCTATTGTTCTCTCTAGTAACATTTCAAAATGCTACTAATGGCAAACCATTGGACGAAATTTAATCAAATTTCGTCGTTAAGAACCGGCGACACCTGCTACACCCCAGTCTGGGATCAGGGTTACATAGGGGTCATCGGGGTCAAATTTTCAAAATAGCCCAATTGAGCTCAAATTTACCAGGAATGATCCTTAGGATCTTCTAAACACGAAAAAATGCTGCTGGCTTAATTATTATTTTTATTATTATTTTACAACATCTCGTAAGTACTTAACTTTACCTTTGTAGACCACTACCTTTATAATGTGTTTTTAAAATTTATATAACTAGGTCAATTTATTGCGAATATGTATGGGTGGTTTATATCCTTGAGTGTATATTAGACAGACTACTGTACTACCAAACATGAGGGTCTTCACAGCTTGAGGTCAATGGTTACAGAGGTTATCTTTGGGTCAAATCCTGAACAATGACTGGGTTCATGTTCTATCGAACATAGTATCTCTAGTTTAGTTTTGTATTTGCGAACTTCTCGTTGGTTGCTTAACAGGTATGAAATATGCATTGATTTATTATTATTATTATTAACGCTTCGGTCGTTACGATGGAACTCTTGGTGGCAGTATGTATCTTTCACGCCAGCAATATTCTTGAGCAGAACTGTTATAATCTTTCTTTTATTATATTCATGCTGTCAGTTTGTACTGGCAGTGACGTAAGCTTCAGTCATGGCGAAAATAATGAAGTAAATAAGCCTATTATATCTCCATGTTTTAATTTGTTTTATCTTCAGTTTCTTTTTTATCAATGGTACTAAATAATTACTTTCAAGTGACCCTTTAATTATTCCTTCCTCTATAATAAATCAAAACTGAAAGTTAATTTTTGTTAACTCTTTGATATCCTATTGAAAATTAAAATTGGAATGTATAATGACAAAGAAAATGGTGAAAGAAAATGGGAAAAAATACAAAATACTATTGTAATAACATAAGAAAATGTAATAATGAACATTGGTCAAATAGTATAGTATGACACTAGTAAAACCATTTATTACAAATACCAAATATGTGTAACTTTATTAATTATTGGCCTAATTAAAGGCTATAAGCAAAAAAACTTTAAAAAAATATATATATAAAAAATGTTACGTATGTATGTATGTGTGTATGTGTATATATATATATATGTATATTTATATATATATATATATATATATATATATATATATATATAAGAAGTGGAAGAGATTAAACGAGACTTTTTAAAATGTATATGTTACAGAAATATATATATATATATATTCAAGTGAAAGCAATGATTAAAATCAAATGCTTGATAGAATTGATCTAATTAATTTTATCAGTCATTTTAATTGTATAGAAGCATGAGTGCTATATCAAATTTGTAAGATACTGAGCATGTATATAAATAAGTATTGTGTATATACATTGGAATGACAATAAAGGTGGGAAACACCCACAAAAGACAACAAAAAAAACTCTTTGATAAGCAACGTAACTTATTGAACATAAAGAGTTTAGATATTCACAAAACATTTTTTCTTAGTGTAGATCAGTGTGTCAAATTTAATTTAAAGCTAAAGAAAACTTTACGTTAGCAATCTCGTAGAATGTGCCATGTAAGTAAGTGTTATCAGTTATGAATTAGGTAATTGACAGAGAAACATCTAAGACTAAGTTTTGATTTTATTTACTTTATTTATTTGAATTCAAAATATAAATAAAATATACAAATATAGTCAGGAACAGTTTCGGCATATATTTTATTTCAACTCATTAGAAGCAGCTGCTCAGATAAAATATAAAATATACTATAAGAATACATACCGGTACATTAAAGACACATAAAAAAAACACGCAGTTTATTATTACAATAAATTATTTTAAAAATATTGGCATAGCTTTATAATTATCATTGTATTGTTACTACAGGAGCTTCCAATGTCAGCTCCATCAATGGTAAATTGCGTTGTCTAACACGTTACAACATCTAATGTAGCAAACGTCGAAAATTATTATCTATTATTATTATTATTGTCTATTATCTGTCTAAGAGTATCTTTATTTCATTTCATTTTCAGTCAATACAGATGTTAAACAAACAACGCAAATGGCATATTACTTACAGGAAGCCAGAGGCTTGTAAATAATAATACTGTGCAAAATATGTGCAAATAATTGTTTTATCTTGAGTGTATGAATTTTCTTCGATTTTTTTTCCTGATATTAGTGTTATGGAGGGTGGGGATGTCTATCGCAGTCTGCTTGATCCGTCCAGTGCTATATACACATAATTAAGTATTCTATTTTTTTTGGTTTTACATTCAAATAAACGACTGGGTTATCATCAATCCACTGTAGATCTTCATACGTCTTGTTCTCTGCACTCGGCTCACCATACGACATATATACACCTGCAACATAAAGAATAGCCAGTATATATTATTATAAGGCTTGTTTCCTAGACCTGAGTAATGTTCTAAGCGGTGTGCAAGAGTTACTTACTAACAATCGTAAATAACAGTGATGAAGATTTTTGACGGAACGATTGGAAATACAAATAGAGGTCTATTGTGAGAGATAGCTAGAAACGACATAAATAAACATATCAGCTGAAACATTTGTGTACAAAATAGCATTAAGCTAAGTTAAATAATGTGTGGATTACCAATCGTAGGCAATGTTCTATTTGATGGCGAGATTTCTGAAGCATCTAAAAGAAGAGATACACATCTTGATGTGTATAAGAGACAGACGTCCATCTCATTTCCTTCACATAGAACTACAGGCACTAAACCTTAAAAAGCTTAGATGAAACGATAGTTAAGTTGGAAAATTGTGCATCCAGTTCAGACAAGATGTGGCTCACGAATAGTATCGCCATGTTGCGGCAGTAATGTTCCTATGGAGAAGTAGTGGGTGCACTGCATAGTGCACTGCATAGATGGTAACACATTCACTGTTTCTGCCAGTCTGACTGCATTGATTACATTGAAGTCAAATGACGTCAATGTAATCAAGAGTGATGTAGCATCATTTCTGCTCTTGGAATTCCATGTAGAATCTCGGAATTAATCACCACATAATTCAATATTGGCGCCATGTGCAATGTTCTCCAGAGC